ATGGGAATTGATGCTACTAAACAGCATTAATTACGAGACTGCCACGTACAACTGGCAGTGGACACGTGTATCGTGGAGGCGGCATTGAGAAGCGTCTAGATTTTAAACGCAGAAAAATATTCCGCGGCTTTTGAGCTGTTTCTGGGAAGGATAATGAAAGCACTTCAGAAGACCAAATGTGCCTTTCCTACTTTTCGTTCCCAATATTTTGTTTGGTCACCAAATACTTTCTACACTTATTAATTCCTTTTTCTTTTCCCTCTTATGAAAATTATTTTTTAATTTTTAATTTTTGTTTTAAATAACTAAGCGTATCAATACTACTTTCACTAATATTTTTCTTTTATTATCTACTTTTTCTTCAAAGCTAAAAAAATTAGTTGTTAAAATTTAAAATTACTGGGAAGCAAACGTAATTCTCAAAATTAAATAAAAATGAAAGGATTATTACATATATTTCTTTGTTTGAGTTCAATTTTCAAACAATTAAAATATCCTAATTTGTAATAAAAAAATGGTTAAATACACTTTTTGGTCGATATAGTTTTTATTTGGTCTATGAGTTTAAAAAACCGTTTGTGGTTGATCTTGAGTCTTAAAAGTGATATGTTTTGTCTCTGAAGTTTGAATTTTGTTTTATAACTTTTTTTTTTATTTCTAATTGCTCCTTGAGTTGGATTGACTGTTAGTTAATCTAATGGAATGATAATGCGATAGTTAACATATATTAATTAGACAATAAAAAGTCTCTCAAATGACCCAATATGAATGTCAATGAATTCAGTTGACTGTCTTGATGATTCCCATGGTAAATTAGAACCTAGTCATGTTAAACTGGAGATAAGTACACGTAAAGGATTGTGATGATGTTGGAATTGTGGAACAATGGAAGGAGAAGAGAAGGGAGAGAGTAATAGGAGGAGAGAAAAATACCACTTTGACAAAAGATAATAAATAATGATAAAATTTGTCCACTCATTTAAAAAATACATATCACGAAAGTTTAGTCACTCCAAAGGATTGTTTTTCATCAAATTGGTGCAAACACTTCAAATTTGGAACCAATTAATTTAATTTGCCCTCCTAAAACTTTATCAATTTTATTGTCATTTTTTCTTCTTACTATTTTTTTAGTATAATATGTAGGTGGAGAATCGAACTCACAACCTCATGGATAGAAATATATGTTAATTACCGCTGAACTATGCTCGCTTTTATAATTTTATTCTCATTTCTTATTTGGTGGCATTATACTTTTTTAATAATTACTTTACAACTCTTATTTTTTCTTTACCATCTATTAGTGAAACTAATAACTTTTTCATTCATGATTTTATAATTTTACTATTTATTTGTTTATTTATACAAATAATTTTAATTTTATTAGTTAATGTAGTTTAATTATAAAATATTACAACTATTTTATTTAATTTATCCTTTATTTAATTTTATTGTGTTATTATTAAGTAATATCAATAAAATTGTTATTTTAATTATTATATTAAATATTATAACAATCAAATATAACAACATTTCTTTTATTAATAATGGTTAGTTCTAGTAAAAAGTATACTAATTTTTTAATTGATCTAGTTATATTTTTATTATTTATTATTTGTTAATATTATAATAAAAATATTTACGGTCATAAAAAAAATATTAAAAATGATATTAACTATGTAATTAGTTATAAATAATAAGAATTAGATATTCTACATTTCGATTACCGACAGTTTTAATAAACAACGTTAATCTGATTCTAAGAAAATTTTTAGTAAACAATATCAAAGAAATAAAATCATATTTTAAATAATTTCATTAGGATTACTCACGTTTAAATTATTATAAGTTAATGAGATATTTGCTCTATTTATGATTATTTTTCATTAAAAAAAGAAGTAATTAATTTTTGTCAATGAAGTTCAAAACTTCACTGACATTCATTTTGAGTAGCTTGTTTATGTACAAATCTTTAATCTTCTAGTGTAGTAATTTAAAACGATTAATGAAGATTTAAATTATACAATACTAACACGATAATTTACTCGTCAAGTTTCAACCTAACTTATCCTTTTTTTTTAAACAAAAAAAAATCATAAACAAATTAGATGAAGTGGTCGACCGCAAAATTACTTGCAAAATGGTGAAAAAGGAAAAGGGAAAGTCAAATTTAATTAAATTCAAAAGAAAGCAGAGTACAGTTGAGCTACCCTCTTTTTTTAAAAAAATTTATATATTTATTTCTCTTCTTTTAAAGAGTTGGATTCTGATATTGGTCAATTCGTTGTTGCCAACAAATAAAGCTCATTGATTTTTCTTTAAAAAAAAATAAATAAATAAAGCTCATTTATTGTTTGGCTTTAACCAAAAAGAAAGATAAAATAAAAGTCAAATTTAACTATTGAATCCGATATTTCGGGTCGCTTTCTAGTATTATTTGTTTTACATTGAGATTCATCTATATTATTATTATTATTATTATATATATATTTTTATACAACTTGAGATTCATCTATGTTATTATCTTCAGTTTCAATTTATTTTCTGTATTTCAAATTTTTATAAGCCTTTATTAAATCAGCTATTCATGAGCTGTTTTATAATGTATAAACAACCATCACAATCATACTGAACAATATTTATATAATTTTTCGTTGATTGATTGAGGAATTAAGATAGAAAATCTATTTTCATCCACATGGTAGCTGCACGATTATATCTGCATAGTTCAAGAAAACTTTATTTAAGATCCTATGATAAATTGCTTAGAAAGCAGATGATATATAATACAAAGTAAAATTTGCAGAAGATTTAATTATTTAATTATTTTTTCTTTGTCAATTTCTTAAACGAGATGATAAATATGTAAAAGAAGTTTTCGAAATGACGTGTGCCATTATGTCTTTTTGTTAAAACTAAATTAAAAATCTTAACCGTTTAAAAAGCTGATTTTAATGCGGTCCAATTCTATGGANGAAAGAAAATACATCAATAGTCATATCCGGACACTAGTTTTAGTTCAATGTAATTATGGGTATTTATTTCTAATTGATAAGTGAAAAGTTCGAATCTCCCGCTCTATTTATATTGTACTAAAATAATAATAAATAAATAAAATATTATATTAGTGCAAAATATACTTTCTTAAAACAGTAATTTAAATAAAATGACCTTTTAAAATTTTGGTTTATAATAATAATAAATATAACTTAAATGTGAACTAATACTTAAATTAGTACACATGATTGTACCTCTATTCTAATTCTATTAACTTATTATATTGTGCTATATCAATTGGCTTATCATATCACACATTTAAATAACAATTTCAAGTGTAAAAAATAAGTTATACTAAAAAAATCTTTCAAAAGTAAAAGCTGATGAAAATTAAAATAGAGAGTCGAAAGATAGATTACAATGTCTTAATAATTCAGAGACCAGAATGGAAATAATTTAAAAAATTAGAGATTAATTATGTAATTTAAAATTGTCGTTTGAACGAAAAATAAGATTGTTCTGGAGAATGGGGAGGAGGGCAAAATCGTAAATTGGAGATTGGAACTATGGACTGAAAAGGGAGGGAAGGCGGAGGAAGAAGGCAGGTGTCCGCTGGATATATGTATTTATTTTGAACGCTGAAACTGGAAGACAATTCCCCACCACTAACACGAACCGTTGGTCTCAAACGCCTTCTCTTCTTTCTCTCTCTCTAAAAAACTACAAGATCAAATTCGAAACGCCGGAGAACAGACAATCGTATACCAAACCCTACGATCCGCGGCAGAATAGGAGGGATCTGCATTCCAGCTTCTTCCATTACGTATCAGCTCATCGCCGGAGAATTTTTTAGAGTTGTTTTTGCTTTGCTTCTCTTTCATAAGTCCACCGACGGTCAAGGTACGTACGCCGGAGATTTCTCCTTCGTTTTCCCTCTGTTTCTTGTCTGATCTGGATGTTTGAGGTTTGGAGTGGAGAATGAGAGCGTTCTGCTGTTTCTTCCGTATTGAAGATTATTGATGTGCGAGCTGTCGTGTATTTAACTGACACATCGTTTGAGATCTACGTTTTAAAAGTTTTTACTTATTTTTGTTGTTTGTCGTTCTTCATTTCGTCGGCGAAGGGACGTGTCTTGGAAGTTTGCACGCTTTTTATTCTTATTTTTACTCTCACATACGGTTTCTGTATTTGGTGTGACAAATTTTTCTTGATTCTACGCCGCTGCCTACACTGTGATTTTACCGGATGCCTTATTTTCATTTCAGTTTTCAAGGTTTTGTTTATTTTGACCTGTCGTTCCTCTTGTGGTTCTACATTTTGGACGAGATCTGCTTTCTCTGTTTTCTGTACATTTAAGGAAGGATTTATTCTGATCTTGCTATAACCATGCAAGTGGATGATTCGCTGTTGAGCTCGTGCATTCTTTGAGTGTTGGTGTCATTTTTATTTATTTATTTATTTTTATCATTATCATTTTATAACCATTTCATTTTGTGCTCTTTCGATTTTCCTTCTTGTTTTTGTAAATACTGGCTACGCTTGAACACCTGTCTCTTGACGATCTTGGATCAGATTTTTGTTTTTCTCTATCATTCTAGGCTTCATGAATTTCATTTTCATGCGAGCTTACCGATTCTTGAAGCTTTGCTTTGAAATACCTTAGAAATTTGTTGTTTTAGGTCCAATCTTTGGTTCTATGTCTTCATTTCTATGGATACTCCTTTTCTCTATTTCCTTTTATGACTTTCCACCAAATCTGGCCTTCTTGTACACGATTGTCTTCACTTCCGTAATTTTCTAGAATATTGAAATTTCCGATTATTATTGTTATGCTTGTAGAGAAAGAGAATTTGTAAATTGTATGTGATAGAATGTTGATGAGTTTTATTACAACTTCATTAAGCTATCTGAATCGATACAAAATTCCATGTAACTGTGTATTGGCTGCTGATGGTTATTTACACAACAACTCAGACATCTTTCATGTACCTAGGCTTCCATTGATAGAGGAGGAATTTCGTTGGAACAAGTCTCTGGTTGGTGCATTGACGGGTTTTCTGATAAGAAGTTCGTCATGGTTGCAACTGCAGCTACATCCGCCTTTTTTCCTGTTACTTCTCCATCCTTGGACTCTGGAGCAAAGACACCTAAGCTCGGTAGTGGGTCTGTCAATCCTGGAGGAAGCAGGCCAAAATCTTCTTCTCGTGGGTTGCAAGTTAAGGCGAATGCCCAAGCTCCTCCAAAAATAAATGGTACTTCCGTTGGATTGGAGGGTGTCAAGCTTGATGATGATCTGACATCACCTCCCCCGAGGACTTTCATTAACCTGTTACCTGACTGGAGTATGCTTCTTGCTGCTATCACTACCATATTCCTGGCTGCTGAGAAGCAGTGGATGATGCTTGACTGGAAGCCTAGGCGGGCTGACATGCTTATCGATCCATTTGGTTTGGGAAGAATTGTTCAGGATGGTCTTGTGTTTCGGCAGAATTTTTCAATTAGGTCATATGAAATTGGTGCAGATCGAACTGCATCTATAGAAACATTAATGAACCATTTACAGGTACATAATTAATCATGTACTCTTTTCCTGTTGGTTCTCAATTCTTATGATGTTTATCTGTAGTGGATTCAAAATTTTTTAGTTTTAGGTCTGCATAATGGGTTGTTAGTTCTTATTTTCTTTCATTTATTGGGAACAGTAAAATGATATCTTGGTCTTTGCTGCAGGAAACTGCACTTAATCATGTAAAAACCGCCGGACTACTAGGTGATGGATTTGGTTCGACACCAGAAATGTGCAAAAAGAATTTGATATGGGTAGTTGCAAAGATGCAGGTTGTGGTCGATAGATACCCTACTTGGTAAGTCATAGGTTTCTTTTATATATATATCCTTAAAAGGCAAAATACTTTGGCGACTGCTGATATTTATTCATATCTCTACGTGAGCTTTATGTCTCTGTTGATCATGTAAGATGAATGATTTAGAGGTTTGACTTTCATAACTTTTTATATTTTCAGGATATTTAGGCAACATCCAGTTTATGCTTTCTAGGTTATCTATAGCTGGTTCAGATCAGAGTTGCAACTGCTTCCATTATCTTAATATGAAATATGTTATATGTTACTTGGAAAACTTCACTCCCATGGTTGTCGTTGTATCTGTCGAGTTAAATATCTCTTGCCAATTATTTATAGGTTAAAACTCTTGAGGATGTTTTAATGGCTGACGAATTGGAGATTGACAGACTGAATTGTTGTCTTTTCTTTCAGGGGTGATGTCGTTCAAGTAGACACGTGGGTCTGTGCATCTGGGAAGAATGGCATGCGACGAGACTGGCTTGTTCGTGATTGTAAAACTGGTGAAACTCTTACTAGGGCCTCAAGGTATAGGTTTCCCTGCCTGCAAGTAGTCCTAGTTATTATTTCTTTCCCTCTCTCGGTGCCTGTAGTAGTTATTTCTGAATTCTGCATCTCAAATCTAATGCCTATGGCTTGTAAATAAGCTTGCTGTGACTCTTTAACATCCACCAGTCCAGAAATTATACCCAAACCAAGAAAGGAAGGAAAAAGATGGAAACAGTTGGTTATTATATATAAGTCATTGCTGCAGTTCTAATAACTATGTGGGATTGTTTTCTTTTTTCCTTTTTCCAATGGCAGTGTATGGGTGATGATGAATAAGCTGACAAGAAAATTATCGAAGATTCCTGGAGAAGTTAGAGAGGAAATAGAGCCTTATTTTGCTAATTCACCCCCAATTGTGGAAGAAGATAGCAGAAAACTTCCAAAACTTGATGATGATAGTGCTGATTACATTCGTAAAGGCTTGACGGTAAGTGACTTCCTATTGTAGGACGCTTTCCCTCGTGTGGTTCTCGTGAATGACCTGTATTTCAAATTACAGCCTAGATGGAGTGATTTAGATATCAACCAGCATGTTAACAACGTGAAGTACATTGGCTGGATTCTGGAGGTAGTTCTTCTCTCCTCATAATTATCTTGGTTCCTCCTTTTTCTGAGTGTCAAACTCAGAACCCGCAGCCGTTTCTTACCACAAGAGTTTGTAATCACAGAGTGCCCCGCTGCCAATTCTGGAAAGTCATGAACTCTCTACCATGACTTTGGAATACAGGAGAGAATGTGGAAGGGACAGCGTGCTGCAATCCCTTACTGCTGTATCTGATGCTGGTATCACCAATTTAGCGGATGCTGGTGACATTGAGTGTCAGCACCTACTTCGACTTGAAAGTGGAGCAGAGATTGTTAGAGGAAGGACCGGGTGGAGGCCCAAGCATGCTACAAACTTCGGGATGGTGGGTCAGATTCCCGCCGGAAATACATAAATTCAAGAAGCTACCTCGTAGCTGGAAGCCCCCACTGGGTTCCCCTTGTGCATTCATTGCTTGTGTAGTTAGAGGCTTCTGTTTTTCTCGGATTTAAAAAAAGCCCCTTATATATACATATATATATTTATTTGTTTCCAGTCCTTCCCTAAACTATCTGTTTTCCTTGGGAAGAAAAAAGAAAGAAGAATTATGCAGCCCCATTGTAATTAGTCATTCTTTTATTGCCCCAACGTTAAAGGTAATATAGATAACACCTCCCTAATGTTTTTGGCTCTTAGGTTGCATTGCATATATGTGAGCCTTCATTTACTTAGACTTGAAACTGTGGAATCTCTTCCTTTTTTCTCTCTATGGGTTCATTCATTTTATTCTGTACTGATTGATCTTTAATTCTTTGCCAGCCTGGTTGTGTATTGGGATGGCTATTTTAATATTATTATTATTTTTATTATAGTTTTGTATAGCGTAGCAGGATATGATGATATCTCGTTTTATAAGTATTTTGCAGCCTGGCTTCTTAGCTGGACAAACAGACTTTCAGGTTGCCGGCGCCAGTTCCCTTCACGTTCTGTAATGGCTCCACCTTTGTCTTTCTCTGTGTTGAAAAGAAGATAACGTGAAACTGACCTTATCTGAAATGATTAATAATCGAGAAAATGGCAATAACAAGTAATGCAAGGATTTATTAACATTGAAATGGAGACATATTTGGCCATTTTTGCGTTTCTGTTTGCTATCATTTTCTTCCTGGCTGAGTTGCAAAAAAAAGATTTATGAACAAATACCCAAAAAGTAATATCCAAAAAGGTAACGTTCCTGTTTCTTGTTTCTGTTTATTTTTAATGAAGAAAAATGGGTTTAGGAGAAACAAGAAACAAAATTAGTTGCAAGATAACAAAAAGTGAGAACGTTACCAAACAGACCTTAATCTCCCAATTTCATTTTAAAAGGATAATTCTTCCATTGTCATCATAGTTTTTCTCCCTTGTCTATCCAATCTTGGCCCTAATCCCCTTTTTAAAACCAATAGCTTCTACATTTCATCCAGGCAAGTTTCAAATTAAATTTCTCATTCAAATATTAATGGATGTTTGCTTACATAGTATTTAAAATGTTTATGAAAGGTCAATTGTGATATTGAAAAAATGATAGGGATATTTTTAAACAAATGTCAAATTCAAGAGTACTTTTTGTAGTTTAGCATTTTCTTCTTGCTTTCTCCTCTTTTGCTTCATTGTAAACTTCTTGATTTATTGGAAGGAATTTTCGACTGACATTTCCTCGAAAAGGAAATGGGGCAATTCATCTCGTGGGGAGAGCTCTCTTCTCTTATCCATATGAGTAAGTTCTGGTTTAAAGAAGCTTTATATCTATATATATATTCACGTGAAAGAAGAAATAAAATCAGAAGAAGTAAAATCAAAAGTCAATAGACGAATTCTAATTGTACCCCTCCATTAAAGAAACTTTAATCCTTCATCTCAAAATAGCTAATTGCATGTCTAGATTGAGCAAACTAAATTAGTAATGTATGAATCAATTTGGAGTCATTCACTCATTAATTTTTGTTATCATCAAATCATTATCTAATAAAATTTTGATACTTTTTAAATACACTGAGTAGAAACGGTTCGTTAGTCATTACTATCATCACTATTAGTTTCGTATTTGGGATTGATATTTGAGATGATGATCAAACATGACAATTTCTACCATAGAATTAGTTCAAAAGGTGCTAATCCCTTGCGTTTATCCAAAACTTGATTTGATAGATTAGGAAATTTAATTAATAATTAGGTTGCCCTTCAGGACAAATTTATCCATCCCTTCTGCAAAATCAAGCCCACACCATCATTTTAGACAATTATAGCCAATTGTCAGACAGCGATCTCATTATTGAGACAAAAAAAAAAAAGTATAGTTTTATAATTGCACCCACTATCCTCAATTATAATATCTCTGACAAAGAACCTTTATTTTCGTAATAATAAAGCAATGCACATAAACTGTATAAAAAGAAAGGTTTAAATATTCTATTATTTCGTTCTATATATTCTCCATTTTTTTTTTATAATTTTATATAAATATTTTTAAAAAATTTATTTTAGTCTATATACTTTTAAAAAATATATATTTTTTATCTTTTAATTAATTTATTTTATTTCATCTGTTTCAATCAAAATTTTAACATGATACTTCACTCATTAAGTTTTTTGAGATGTAACTATAAATTTGTATTAAAAAACAAAAAAAAGCAAAAATGTTCGAAAAGTACATAAAATATACATAGATTAAAATAAATCAAAGTCGAAAATACTTTATATTTAAAAGATTAAAACACTTCCCTCTCTTCTTTTCTTCTCTTTTTCTGGTGTCTCTTCCCAATTAGATTTGGATTGTTAAGCGTAAAAAGAGGATAAAGATTAGCGATTAGCAAAACCCAAGTTCATGAACTGTGGTACTAATTAATAAAGGAATTGGGTGTGTGAAAATGGAAGCACATTCAGTGGAAGCTTCCCACTCAATTCTTAAACAACTACCAAAAACGTAATGCAATGTATTTGCTCACAAACACCATTCTACTTGAGACACATGTCAAGCATTAGTACAATGCTTCTCTCTCTTATAAAATAAAGTAGCCTTCAACAAAATTATGGTTAAGTTATTGATTTGTTGGACCTACCAAGTTTTAAATGTTCGTCCACGTATCAATTTCATGAAAATATCGATGAAAATATCAATAAATATCGATGTCGATGGATATTTGTGTAAAAGGTAGAAAAATTTTAAAAATCGTAAAAAAATATTTAAATTAAGAAATAACATTTTCCTATTTCTAAATTAGTTAAAAATAACTAATATTAATATCGTGTATATATTAGTGACATCTTGTTGATATTTTTCATATTTTGTCGATTTTCTTATACTATGATAGAAATGTCAATTTACCCCTTGTGTTGATGTCGAACCCATGGAAATATGAAAATGTCGATATGTGGATAGATATTTAGAACTATGGACCCAACTCATAAACCAAGAGCCAAGAGGTTACCCATTACAACTTGGTCCAAATATAGTTAAGTTAGTTTAGAGACATTTAATTTTCCTCCCATTTGTCTTTTGTCTTTGTTAGTGAACTCTAGACATTATGAAGCACATTTTATATTAGATTTGTAAGTATTAGTAAACTATGAGTATGTAAGATTTTGTGAGCCTTAATTTAAATATGTGAGATATGCTAATGAGTTTGCAAAAAAAAAAAGAAAAAATGGTAAAAATTTTGTCGGAAAACTTGTTGAGAAATATGAGGTAAAAATATAATATAGTTCAACCGATTAATATATCTATTCTTTCTCGTGAAATTGAGATTCAAATCTCCACATCTATATTTGTAGATTTGTTGTGTTGAAGTGAAGGTAAAATACATATAATCTACAAAAATTCCTCCCGATGGGTCGAAAGTATTACATTATTGAACACCCTGCCATTATTACTAGACAACCAAACACTGTATGGTGGTCTAATCACTTTTCTATTTCTTATGAATAGCCATTCAAACGTCTTGATCGCGATCAAAATTAAAACAATATATACAACGACCAATACCTAAAATATTTCCTCTCTAACATTAATCTAAAATTAACACAAATAAAACGCCTTGCTTTGCTTGTCATACCAACCATGGTATCATATATCATTA